AACCAAAAAAAAGTGTTTTATGAGACTGATTATTTATTAAAAGTGTATTTATTTTATAAATTTATTAAATTACTCTCACTAAAACTATTTCTTTTATTATTTCATTTAAGTTATTTTAGTGAATTCATAAACTAGATTGCATTTTTAATATATAGTTCAAATGATAATACATAAATCTCTACTTTTAATAACAATTACTTTTTTTCATGTGTGAAAAATGTTGGAGATTCGGGGTTAGAAAATAGATCATTGGCTTCAAGACATGCTGTAGATGCCACTTTTCTTTAGGTTAATTTTGCCCTCACCAGATCTAGTATGCAAATAGGGGTAATCCGAAATGCCCATAGGATACAATGAAGCACCTTGTTGATCTTGCCTTTGCACTAGTAAGATCAACCACTGAACCGTCCTTTAGAAAGTGACAAAACAATCGTTTTTGTACAAAGATTTCTGTAGCAATCGTAGTACAAAAAGGAGCTGTTTAATTCAGATAATAGTAAGGATTTTTTTCTGGGTTCAAGAGACTCAGAAGAGGAAGAGATAACTCCATATTTATAGGGACAAGATGTCTGTTAAAAACAAACGCTCCTTTTCAATTTTATCCGTTGGAAACTCTTCCAAAAGTCATTTGGTTTTATTTGAATTCCAACTCACGTATTTCCTTGTCTTCCAAAGTTATCCACTCTTCCTTGAGAAACTTATCAGAATTCTATCTTTTATTTTTGACTTAAATGGTTTGAACCATATAAATGCAGTTCGAACCAAAAGCGTACTTCTCGAATTCTGATTTCACGTAAACAGTTCAAATCATAAATATATGGTTTGAACCAAAGTTATATTTTCTCAAATGCATTTTATGCAATTATTTCGAATCAATTTTTTGTGTTTCAAACCCAAATCCAGAAACTATTTTGAAAATTCTTCAACAAAAAAGAAAAAATTGTGGTCACATTCGTGACTGGTCTTCCACTAAGAGTAGTAGTGAATTTTCTTTTTTTATGAAATATGTGCCGTTTTATTTATTATTATAGAACAGGATGAGTACCATATTACTTCAATAGCTTATGTCCTGTTACAATAGGCACTATATGATCTGGGACTTCTTCTATCCAAAACTCGTCATCCTCAGCATGTAAGGCCCGTTTGGCTACTTCATGGGGTAGCAGCGTTGCCGGTGCGACCAATATGCTGAATCTTACAGTGGGCAAAGGAAGACATTAAGGTTTTAAAATCCTTAATGATGGAACTCAGGCTTGAGGGAAACTGCAACCCATTGAGAAATAGTGAAAGTTATTTTATTTTATTTTATTTTTTATCGGCATAGTGAAAGTTATTGTAACTAATAAAATAGCAAGTCTTTCCCATATCCTCTCATTTGGCATGTTTAGTGAAGCTTAAAAGTAAATTTATTTATGACTAAAAATGTGGTCTTTAGAATTAGAAATGCTTGATAGATAGGACTAAAAATTTCTAATAATCAATAAAGCTTTTTTCAACCCACTAGATAGCTATTAGCTATAAGGGATGGTTTTAGCAACCAATTGTCTAGAGACAAACCTTTACCTCACAAAAATACCTAACATTCAATATTAGACAAGAAAACATAATGGGGAATTGTGAGTGAATCTGATATATAAATATGAAGAATAACCACTACTAACAACTTGAATTTAAATTTTTGAGAACTTGTGAACCTTAGTTTAAAAAGTTATTAAGGCAGTGGTAGGTTTCAGTTTAAATCATTTTAGTTGATATTAAAATGGCTACTTCATGCAAATGTGTACCTATAGTGACCATTACACCCAATAATAATGTGAATCTCACATCACTTAAAATATATCCTATACTAGTGGATTAGTGGGGTTAGTTTTGATTGTGTTTAGATTTGGTGAGGACATCAAGCATTTAAGTAGG